GTTCTGAAAGGTTCTGGGGAACTAAAGCTTCTGGACCGAGCAGAAAGGTTCTGGGGATTCTGGCCTGGAGGTCAACACCTGACCCGGTTCTCAGTCTGACTCAAACTGCTCCAACAGAACCTGAACACTGGTTCTGACCCAAAAACTCCTTCAACTTTACAGGGAAAACCCAACAGGTTCTGGGACTCCACCGTGGTTCTGTTCTGGCTGAGCAACCTTCAGGACGGGTTCGGAAAAGTTCGGCCTCAGAAACTGGATCCTGGCTCGGCTCAGGACCAGCTGGGTCTATTTTTAGAGAACCGGTTTCAGGGTCAAACCTCCATTTAGTCCAGCTGCTGCGGGTTCTGACCCTCCTGGACCGGACCGTGTCCCGGTACCGGCCCCCGTCCCCTGGGTGAGTTCTGCTTACCGTAAACCCGGAGCCATCCCTGCTGCTGGGACACGGAGTCCCCCAGGATCCGGTCCACCAGCGGATCCAGGAGACCCAGTCCGCCCTGGAGGGAGTCCAGGTCTGCCGGTACCGAGTCCGGCTCCATGTCCGCCAAGGAAACTTGCGGTCCCGGGGGGAGAGGCTTCGGAGGGGCGCGTATGGCCGGCAGGAGTGTGTGAAAGTGGGATAAAGTGAGAGTGAGATCCCGCATGGAGGCTCCGGGGCTCCGGCCGCCCCGCTGCTCCCTGCAGGCCGCTAGCTGCTCCCGCTGCCGCCGGCGGCGCTCCGGCTGGCCCCCCGGTCCTGCCTCATGGCTCCAGTTCTGGGAAAAACGGTCCAAACTTCAACTAAAGCTCCAGAAACAGGAAGCTGGGAACCTCCCCTGTCCTTCCCGCTGAGTTACCCCCCACAGTCCGGCAGAGGGAGCGCAGAAAGCGGCGGGAAGTCCGGGATCCAGGCGGAGGACGGAGAGTCTCCGGCGGGCTGCAGGTCTGAGCTGCTGCCGCTCCACGGGAGCGCGCAGGGCAGCGGGGCTGCGCCGCGACGTGCCAGTCCCCGCGGGAGCGCGCAGGGAGATCCGGGAGGAAGAGGAGGAAGTCCAGGACCTGAAGCCATGTTTCCTGATGAAGGCCGACCAGAACCAGAGAGTCAGGGTCGAAACGGGACAACCCAGATACAACTGTAGTTATTATTATTATTATTATTAAGTCTGAGGTGACCTTAAAGGTCCAAATCTTTAGCGTTTTAACAAAATTAGTGTGAATTGTCAGATTGTATTTTCAGTTCTGTTGTTCATTTATTCATCCAACTCATCCTCTGCAGTCAGAGCTGACCTGATCCTGAAACAGTCTGCAGCAGATGATTAAACCAGTTTGTCAGATATGGAAGGACCCAGAAGGTTCTTTGGTTCTGGAGCATGAAGACTTTTCAGGGTCAGAGGTCACGTTGTAAATGGAGATGAAGAAGTCTAAACCGGGAAGCTTCTGAAGGAAGGATTCATCATCATCACAGATTAAAAAATGCTTCATCCTAAAAACTGAAATGTTCTCATAACTGAAATAATCCAAGTATCTTCAGTCATCATGGTGCTGAGGGCAGGAAGGATCTCCACCAGCAGTCAGTGTTTCAGTGACATGTGAAGGGGCCTCTGACTGAAGACTGTTGCTTTATGACATGCTAACAGCTCAACATCCAGAGATAAGATTTCACAGTAACATCAGATGCTGGCAGCTCTGCTAATCCACCACCTTTGCTTCTGCCGCTCCTCTAAATCTCTGTCAGGCCAGAAAGATGTTGGAATCTGGGACATGATCCCTGATGGATGGAAGAGATGGCTTTACCTTCCTCCTTTTCCTGGGATCTGGGGTCAAAGGTCAGGAATTATTAGAGCTTTTCAGATGCTAACAGCTGCTCCCGGTTGTGAAAACAATACCACATTGCCACGGTTACGCATCATCACTACTGTCTGAAAACAGAAAGCATCCAGAACCAGTCAGAACCAGCAGAGCTGCTCAGACCGGCGCCGTTCTGAAACCTGAAGCAGAGATCGAAGCTTCCTGTCGGGCGCAGCGTTCTGCATGTTCTCCTTGGTTCTCTCCAGGGTCGTCAGTTCACCTACCGACTCCCAGCGGGTCCTTCACGACTCCGGAAGAGTCGGGTCATGGTTCCGTTTCTGGTCCACTTTGTGCTTCTGTCAGAACAGCTCCTACAGTTAGTCCAGATTGAGGAATTTCTTTATTCATCTTGTCTTTTTGTCTTGCGTTTGGTTCAGTGGATTTGGTCTCAGTTTTCTCAGGTAGTTTTCTTATTGTGGACCTTTTTTCTCTGTGATTTGATGTCTATTTTGATCCTTTCTCTGGTTCTGGTTCTGACCCAGTCTGTATGAACCAGCGCTCTGTACCTCTCAGGGTTCGGGCAGAGCAGGTCCAACTCCATCGGAACCTGACTGGTGCTCTGCAGGCAGCGCTCTGCCTCCCCCTGCTGGTCCTTGTTGGTACCGCAGTATTCTATCAGTTCGGGTTCGGCTGAAGTGGTGAAACTCCATAAAAGTTTCCAGTTCTTCTGAACTCTGAGGAAGAACCGTTCAGATGAATAATTCAGTTTCAATCAATGTGAACTGAACTCTGAACCGGTTCTTCTGGGGAATCAGTTCTCTACACAGAAATGCTGCGATACCTGCACGTTTAGGCGTTCAAATGTCAAAATACTAAAATAACAATAATAATCATATTTCTTAGTTACTTTTAAATGCTTTGTGCATCATTTATAAGTGCATTAGTGCAGAGTCGTGTCTTACCTAGCTAGTTGGTTAGCATAGCCCTCACTGCGGCCAGGTCAGTCTCCTCATCTTCCTCCTGCTTCATCTTCCTCCTGCTTCATCTTCCTCCACGCTTTGCTCCACGGGACAAAAAGATTTGCTGTAACTTTTAGAAAGAAATATTCAGACGGTTCATTGCGGCTGGTTGTGAGTTCATGCCCCGGTAAGACAGACTGATTCGCTCGGCCTCCTGCTGCTGCCGGAGCTTCAACGCTCCGTGGTTTAATGGCACAATAGGAAGACTTTTTGGTCAAATAAATATTAATAATAATAATAAAAGATGCCCTTTGGCATTTTGATTATTGTTAATTTTGTTAAACTGGCGCTGTTGCAATGTAATGTGATTTCTCGCATTTCTTTTTAGCGTAATTTATGTAAATTTTATTTATGACCCACATTAGTGTACAACTGATTTCTAATTTAGTTGTGGTGTTTTTATTGTGTATATATATTAATTAAAAATGCCCTTTGGTCTTTTGAAAGATATGAATTTTAAAGCGGAAATGCTTCTTCTTCTCCTTGAGTTTTATTTGGGGTGGAAAACATTACCGCCCCCTACCGGTAAGGAGCGTGGACCCCGTGACAAAAACAAATAAAATAATAAAAGCAATAATAAAAAACATAACCTGATCTCTTCTGCTTCCTGAATCGTCCTAAAATAAATCAACCATGTCCAATTTCATTTTCATATGACAAAGATTCATAACTTGTTTTGTGGGCAAAAATACCCATCATGTCTGAGGCTCAACAGAGAAGATCCAGAAAAAGTTCTGAAAATATTCTGCTGATGTTGCTTCTCTATGCAGTCAGTGAGGAGAACCAGGAGCTCCACCAAAGCACATCCTCCGTCTGATCGTATCTAGTCTGCAGAATGTCTAGACTTCTATACGTTAAAATCTGGCTTTGAAATGTCCAGCTGGTCAGTTGAACAGTTTGTCTCGTTTGTCCACAGGAGGAACAGCCACTGACATGACAGGAGTGAAACCTGAAAGAAAGTCGACTCAGATACAAAGCAAGTCCTGTAGTAGTTGGTTTTTATTACTGAAATGTTAGGTTTGGGTTTACAGGCAGGCGTAAACAGAGATGGAAACATAGAAATCCTGCAGGCTGAGCAGCAGCAACATGGCCACCAACATGAAGAACGACAGCAGATCTCACCACAAACAGCCCATATAACTTAAAATACTGATTACAGAGCTGGAGCTGCACAGGCTGCAGGCACCACAGGCGAGTCGCTGAAACAGACGGCATGAGGACATTCTGGGGTCTGGTGGTCCAGGATCCATCTGTGTGAATTTAAAAACTTTGCTGAAGTACCAACAGCGGTCCTTTAAGGCGCGAACCGACTCGTCCTGCCTGACGAAGGGCTCAAACCTCCTGAAAACCCACAAAGAATCAACACAAACAGTAATGGTGAAAGGCAACAGCTCTCAGCCCTGTATACAAGCAAGCAGAGATAATAATTATAACAATTAGAATAATAACATACACAGACGTTATGATAGAGGATATATTTTCACCTGGAGGTTTCAGTTGATTGATTGTGATCAGACATAATGGGGTAAAATCAGCCAATCACTTATTTACACGCATAATAATAAACTCCTCGCTCTAACTCATAATAAAAAACATTCACTCAAAAATAAAACATTTGTAATAATTATTAGCACCAGTGTATCAGATAAAACTCTCGCTACGCAGAATGTACAAAGTTGCATAGTGTTTGGATGTGGAGACAAAGGTGAGGTGCTGCAGAGTGGGAACGCACCCATGAGCCGAAGCTGCCAAAGTCCAGAAGAGGTCACTCAGGGGTCGGAACGGGATTTTACACACAAAGACAATCCAACAGGGGATCCGTCACGTTCCAACATTAGCAAAACATTTTATCTGGTAACCAGGAAGCTTCAGATCGTTTGGTACAAATCATCTCTTCTCAGAGGTTTCCACCACAGACAGAACTCCTGATTCCCCCCACAGGTTCTCATCTTCCTCCTACTGAGGAAGAGCAGCCCAGGCTTTCTGAAGTCCAGGACTTTCTTCAGACTTTGTCCTGGAACATGCTAGCAGCTAGCTGGAAACCGTCTGTCCAACCTGGGCTGCATCCATGATGCTAATGAATACACAGAACCAAACAGGCTTTCAGAGTCCGAAGTTACGCTGTTCAACCTGAGCCGACAAAAGTTAGCTAAGCTAGCATGCTAAGGCTAACAAAGTTAACTAGCAAGCTGTTCAAAAGCAGAGATGTCTCTTTGCTATAGATAGGAGGTTAGCATGTTAGTTTTGATTAATTGTGAAAAAGTGATGCTACAAAGTGAAGCTAATCGCCTCCTTTGACAGCACTGAAGAAATGAAAGTTACATTTAAATTTAACACTAGAATTGTCAAAAAAAAAAAACGTAGTGTTCACCCTAACATGATAACCAGCTGTTTGACAAGCTAACATGAAAACCTAGCTTGCCAGCATTAACCTCTCCAAACTAATACAAATGTTTCATTGCTAATTATTGTGACAAATAAAAGTGATATTTAAATATTACTTTTAGAAAATCAGCAGCTGGAATCAGTAAAACGTTACTACACTTAAAAAATGAGCAAAAGCCAAATAAGAAACTCTGTAAGACCTTCACAAAACCTGGAGACCTGCTGCTAAGATGGCTTTGATTAAAAGGTTTGGCAGGATAAGTTAGTCCAAAGTGATGCAAACCAGACCATGGCTTTAATTTTAGGTATTGCTGTTTATCTAGAGCCAACCTTTGAAATGTTTCACTATGAAAACAAACATTAACTTTTACTTATTGTGGTCAATAAACGGATTTGGGGCCTGAACCACTGAAGCTGCTTGTGGGACGTTTTGTTTCTGTCTGTGACGGAAAACGGCCATTTCTACTTCCCAAAGAATTCACAGCTTCTATCAAGGCTTAAATGTGGGAAATTGTAAATGAGAAGGAGTTTGGGTTTGGTTTTATCTGTCTGGGACTTTGGCAGCTTCCCGCACAGCAGTTTATGTGACTTTACAAAACACTGCCACCTGCTGGAGGTGTGAATACTGCAGAAGAGAGGATTAGAAATATTTTCCCTGCTGTCTGTATCGAGAGCGTAGCTTCGGGAGGAGGATCTGAGAATTCCTTCACGTGTTCTGAAATGTTGAAGACAAAAATATGGCGAGGCGCCAATGGGCTGCAGTCACATTGGGTTTATGGTTCTGGTTGTCTCTCCGAGGTTCGTCCACCTCGCTGCCCAGCGCCCCTGCACCGCGGAGGTCACTGTAACGACACCGACGTCACCAGCAACTGCCTCTCTACTGGGCGCGGCTGAAATGTTGGCAAAGAAAGAACTGTTTTGGTAAAAGTCGGCATGCTTGCCGGAGTGTTAGATGTGAGCGTGGGAGGAAACGGGGCGGATGGACGATGTGGGCGGGGTTAAGGCTGCTCCAGCGACGGCGTGTTGAAGCAGCCTTCGGGTAACGCCGCCTTGATGTCGTTCAGGTTGTTGATGTCGCTGCGGATCTCTCGGATCTGCCGGTCATAGTCGTCGATCATCTGCTTCTGTGTGCTCGCCACATCATTCAGTTCCCTGAGCTTCTTGTCCAGCTCGCTGCCGGCCATCTTGTCCTTGGCACGCTTCAGAGACTCATCAATCTGGTTCAGTTTGCTAAGATCCACTTTATCAATGTTTCCTGCAGAAACGCGTGACAGTTAGTTTGAGTCACAGCTAATGTCGACATCGAGAGACGAGTTCTGGACCTACCCAGCTGATCCATTAGATCTGTGATGATCTTCAGGACCGTCTTCACCGTACTCTTGGCCTTGCGAGCGTTGTCCTCAGCCTGTTTGGCGTTATCCGATGCCTGCAGGACAGATCAATCCCATCGACTATCAGCAATGCTTTTGTTAAACAGTTTGAAACTTCCTCATGGACCAGAGGATCAGTTCGTACCATGGAAGCCATCATCATGTCGCTGTCAGCCTCAGCCTTCTTCTTCTTCAGCTCCTCCTCCGCGGCGCTCAGCTGATCCATCATGTCATCAACATCTTTGTCCAGCTTGTTTGTGTCCTGCAGTGCCTTCTCTGCTTCCTCTTTAGTCCTAGCCGAGCCCTGCCAGGACACGATGTGAGGAGACGGTGAGCGGATGAAGAGGATCAGACCACTCATCGACCAGCAGGGGGCGCCTCGTTACCTTCTGAACGTTGCCTGCAATCTTCTCAGCCTCTTCGGCCTTCCTCTTGGCTTCCCCAGCATCACTGGCAGCATTACCAAGCGCCTCCTTCGCCTGCCGGGTCTTCTCGTTGGCGGCCATTATGGTGGCATTGATGATAGGGATCTTCTTCATGGCTTCCTCTGCTGCTGTCTTGTTGTCGTTGACCCTCCTGTCAAAGTCTGGAACAAGTTTGGAAATAACCCTCAGATTAAAATGATTTAGAAGGAAAACATTTAAAATAAGTGGAAAACTAAAGCAACGTTGTCTCCACATTTAACTTCCTGCAACAGTGCATCAACATCCTTTCGAACTTGTTTTATCTAGACTCTGCATTGATTAAGATTTTTTAATGCACAGATTGAGAACACATAAAGAATCCCCAAAATCTTCTTGTGAAAATGGTGATTATTTTTTCCAGTAAACAGAAAGATTTTTCACAGCATTGCAACAGTTTGCATGAAGCAGCCTCACAGCCTGTGCCACTGGTCTCATCTCCAAGAGCATTTCAGGTGAACACCAGGTTTGGATCTTGGTGCTGCGACTGAAAACGGGGGCAGTTACCTCGGAGGTCCTCCAGGATGCTCTCTGCTTCTCTGAAAGTTGACTGGCCTTTCTTCGCCGCCTCCTCGGCCAGAGCTTTAGCGGCATCGGCTCGGGCCAGCAGCTGATCTGCAGTCTGTGGAACAGAAGCAGGTTGAATGGCTGGTGTTAAGTGGCTCAGCCAGAGGAGACTCTGTCATAACCTGAACTCACCTGCTGCTCACTCTTCCCTTTCTCCAGCAGCTTCCGGACCTCCAGCTCTTTGGGCTTCAGGTCGTCTCGCAGCTCGTTGTACTCCCGTTCCGTCTTGTCAATCAGGTTGTCCAGATCAGACGCCTCCTTCTTAATCTTTTTGGCATCATCCTGAGAACAGACGCATCATTAATAAGTTTGATTCCTTGAGCAACGCATGTCTGTTTTACCTTGCTAACATTTACCTCCAGTGTCTTGGTGTCAAACGGCGGGAGGCTGGTCAGGTTGGCAAACAGCTTCAGAGCTTTGTTCCCGGCGTCCTCTGCCTCCGCCTGCACCTTGTTGGCCTGTTGCTCCAGATCCTTGGCCCGGTCCTTCGCCTCGTTGTACCTGAAAGGGGGGAGGAGAAGTCAGAAACTCAGGGAGTTCTAAATCTGTTGGAAACTCATTGCCTCGAAGTCCAAAACTTCAAACAGACTTTACACACAAGGACACCAAACGTCAATTAAAAGACACAAACTGCAATAAAAAGCACAAAATAAACACAAACATTTTACAAGCAAAGACGTTGCATGAAGCAGCTAGAGAGGCAAATCAGAGATTCAAAAGTACTAAACCAACTGAACAAAAAGCCACAACACTGCCAGCAGGACACGGTCGTCTGTCCCTTTAAAACCGTTTTCATCCACACAAACTGAAATGTGACCTACATCTTGTTGAGCTTGTCAATCTCATCAGCCATCTTGCTCTCGCCGTCGATGGTCTTCAGCAGCAGGTTGTATGCTTTGGTTGACGTGTCGTTGGCATCTTTAGCAATCTTTTCGATCTGGTCAGCGTCCATCTTGTGCCTGTAGGAAACATTTCAACACATTTTGTCAAGATGACTTCAAAAGATTCTTTGAACTGTCATGGATGAATCCAGTTCATCTTCGGGTTTTGGATGAGTTCTTGGTGAGTCTTTCAGGTTCGCCAGTCAGAGCTGCAGGTATGAAGTCTTACTTGTCGGCGAGACGCCGAGCCTCCTCAGCCAGCAGCGTCATGTTGTTGGGTTCTCCAGAGCCATCAGTAGGTTTGACGTCCTGTGAATCACATCGGCTCAGTTACCTGCCACTGATCAGTCCATTACATATCAGGACAACACTGACTTCACTTACCACTTTGCTGATGGCATCCTTGGCCTTGGCCAGTTCCTGCCGAGCTCGGTCGATCAGTCTCTCGGCGTCTTGGACTCTGTCCCGCGCGCGGTCAGCCTGAGCGCTGGTGTCGTCCACCGTGTTGCGGATGCTCTGCAGTCGGTTCCACTGGGTGGTCAGGGTGATGTTCAGGACGTTCAGACGGTCCAGCAGACCTCGGTCTGCATCTGCAAGGACCCAGGCGGTACATTAGCGCACCTTTATGCTGTTTATTAAAACATCTTCTGGTCCTCACATTGTTCTGTGTGTGGCAGTTTTACCTTTGCTATTCTGAGCCTCTTCCAGCAGCTCCATGATGACCTTCTCTGCCTCCTTCAATCGATCCTCAAAGGCCTTATCACTGACCGTGTCCTGGCCGGAGCCGAGGTTATCTATCAGAGTCTGGAGTTCTTGGAGCTTCTGTCTCTGCTGGTTCACCTGGACACCATTTTAGAAACCATTTCAGTTTGGAAAGGTCATGTGAAGGAGCGAAGCTCTGATCAACGACTCCTCACCTTGTCTCGGACCAGACCGTAGCAGGACGGACACTGCTGGCAGCCTGGCACTGACCGGTTGTAGAAATAATTCTCCTCACACATATCACATCGAGCTCCAACGAAGCCGGGTCGACATTCGCACCGGCCGTCTTCCTTACACTGACCGGACAGAGAACCTTCAGGGTCGCAGTCACACGCTGAGCAGGAAACAGAAAGTTTATTCATATTTCACGCCTTTATTGATCTGCAGCTCTAGAATAACTAAAACTATGATAAATATTTAATCTCCTTTCTCCTTGGATCTGTCCCTTGGAACGAATACTGCAGGGTTTTTGTGTCGTATTTATGCTGCAAAACCCAACTGTAAGGTTAAAGTAAGTCACAAGTGAAAGTAACTTGTTTGGTTTTGTCCTCACGTTTGCAGCCAGATGAGCTGAAGCCGAAAAAGTTGACCTCACAGCGGTCACAGTGCTGGCCGGCGACGCCGGGTTGGCACTCGCATTGTCCTGAGTCAATGTCACAGTCGCCACTGGTGGAGCCGATTGGGTTGCAGTTACACCTGTGGACAGGTGCAGACAAACTGGTTTGTAACTTCCAACCCTGATGAGTTTAGCCACGATCAACGACATGAAATGACTTTATGTAATGGCTCCACGGTGAAGGATGAATGAACAGTGAAGGTCTGAAACGTGGAGGGGAACTCACTCCTCGCAGCCACTGCCGCTCTGCAGGTTGAAGAATCCCAGCTGGCAGGCGCTGCAGTCGCGTCCGTCCACGTTAGGCAGACACTGACACTGACCGGTGACCGGAGAACAGCTGGTCTGCTGATCCACGGTGCCCAGCGGAGAGCAGGAGCAGGCTGATGAAAAACACCGACAGGAAACACCAAGAGCTGAATTTCCAATGAAAAGCTCGATTCTGTGAACCAAGACGAGTCCAAACTGGTTATCTCTAAACTGTGTAAAGAACTGAGGCTACAGCCTGTCAGACGCTGGACAGGCAGTAAAATACGAGTACACTGCAGGTTAGTGTCAGTCAGTAGCTGTGAATAAAACCCGTTACTGGTCTTCCATGGGTCGATGTGAACGGAGGCTCACCTGCACACTTCTCAGCAGGGTTGGAGGCATGCGGGTCTCCGAAGAAGCCCGCCTTGCAGCGGTCGCAGAAGAAGCCGTCGGTGTTGTAGATGCACTTGAGGCATTCTCCCGTCTCGCGGTTGCAGTTGCCGACGGCGTTGGGGTCGATGTTACTGCTGCACTGGCAGGAGCGGCAGGGCCGGGCCGGCCCGTTCTGACCCAGAGGGTCCCCAAAGAACCCGTCGTCGCAGAGCTCACAGCGCTTTCCTGCACACAGGTGAGGTGTTGCATGTTGATGTCTACTTCTACTGATCTTAATGTTTCAAAAACATGTCAAAGCTTAGTTTGTATATTTTCAGATAATCTCTTGGAAGAACCACGGCGCTGCCTGGTCCAGGCCTCTGTGGTACCTGTGGTTCCAGCAGGACAGTTGGTGCAAACCACTTCTCTGGTTTTGGGGACGACAGCGCAGGTGGCTCCGCTGGGGCAGGGGCACGGCCGGCAGTCGTCCGCCGTGCCCTGGGTGGCGTCGCCATAGAAACCGTCCTGGCAGCGCTCGCAGCTCAACCCGGCAGTGTTGTCCTGGCAGAGACAGGCTCCTGGACAGGAGACAGAGACAGGAGACGTTTTCACCTGCTGACCGACAGATGACCACCGAAAGAACTGGGAATAAAACACTTTATCTACAGAAAGGTCAACATTCCAGAACCAGAACCACACGAGACTGACCAACCAGAACCATCACAAAGTCTGGGCCGAGGAAAAAACAAAAAAAATCTAGTTAACCAGTAACAAACCAGTCTTAAACTGGAGCCACTGGAAACTAGTTAGAGAAGCAAAGCAGAACCCAGGGTGGGTCCAGTCAGAACCTCAAGGAACCAGTTAGGAACGAGCCCACGGTTCTGTCTAAACCCTGAAAACGACCAAAGTCACTGTGACCATCAAACCGTCTTCTCCCAGTGTTCCCAGTCTTACCAGTATCAGGGTTGCAGGCGTCGCTGTGTCCATGGCAGTTGCAGACTTCACAGGAACTGAAGGGTCCGAGCTCCCGCTGGGCGCGGCGGTATCCCAGGGTGCACTGCTCACAGTGCTGACCCTGGTAACCCGGCGGACAGGTGCACTGCTCCACCCAGCGGGCCGGCACTCCTGGGCCCCGCCTCGCCGTCACCAGGGAGACGTTGTCCAGGTAACCAGCACCTGCAGACAGACCCAGGTTTATGTGTCTGGAGGAGGGAAGGTGATGGAGGTGTCGGGAGATGCCTACTCCGCTCGCTGTAGGTGCCCCGGATCTTGATGGCCGTCAGGTTGTGGAGAAGTTTCTGGAAGTCTGAGTCACTGATGGTGGGTCTCCAGGGGTAGCCTGGCTGTTCGTGGAGCCTGAACCAGAACCAGAACCAGAACGGTTTGATTTATTCAGGACCAACAGAGAGCTGAGGAATCTTCTCTGATCAGGAATGCCTCATCCCACCTGAACACAAAGGTCTGCATGTTCTCGTTGGGGTAGGCGTTGCCCTGGGCGATGAGCGGGACGGCCAGCCTCATGTCGGCCCCCTCCAGGATCAGATCCTCGGCCGACAGCCGAGCATCCCGCCGCTCCACTCGGAAGGTCATGCTCAGGTTTTGTCCATAACTCAGCATCTGATTCCTCAAGAACTTCTCTGTGGAGCAGAAAACACCAGTGGTGAGTCTCTGAGGGGAACCGGAGGGTCCGGAACGGCTCAGGTTCGGTACCTGGGGCCACCAGGTACAGCGGCTGGTAGTCTTCAGACATCAAGGACACTTCCTGTCCGGTGGGGGACCACTGGACAGAGACGGTGGATCCGTCCCGCGTCTGGCCGCTCCACTCCTCTGTACCTGCAAACAGGAACAGGAAGTCAGAAACTAGAGGGGGAGCATGCCCAGAGTTTGGGCTGCAGGCGGAGTTCACCTCTGTCGAAGGTGGAGCTGATGGTGTGGACGCTGTAGCCTTCGGCGCTGTCGCACACAGACGAGTGCTGGAAGCAGAAACAGGCCGTGCAGCCCTGGGGGTTGTTGGGGTCCAAGTTGAAGTAACCTGGTTTACATCTGGAGGGACACACGGGTCGGTATAAAGAGTGTCTTAACGAGGAACCGGAACCTGAGTGCGGGCCTTACCTGTCGCAGCTGAAGCCCTCCACGTTGTCTTTACAGCGGCACTGACCCGTGTTGACGTCACACTCCTGGGTGCTGCCTGACGGCGAGCAGGTGCAAGGCCTGGCAGACAAGCACAGGGTTAAATTCACCCACAAAGCTCACAAAACGACCCCAAACTCAACGATGTGGCCAGCAGGTGGCGCTCAGATCAGATTCCTGCTTTTCAGAAACTATCTGAGCAGTTTCCCACTCTGTCATGTTTAAGGCAGTTTGTGTCCAGGTGACGTGAGGCGGCGGCGGCGGCGGCGTACCTGCAGCCGGCCTCGGTCAGGCTGTGGAACCCCGGCTGGCAGCGGTCGCACTTCTCCCCGGTTACTCCGGGTTTGCAGGCGCACACGCCTCTGGTGTTGCACTGAGGAGACTCAGAACCTGCAAACAAACAAACGTCTGCCGTCAGCCCGGTAACCTTTGACCTCCCAAAGAGAGTTAGGGTCAATGAAATACGCAGAGAGGCTGGAACAGAGCAGGAAAACCTCATTCCACCTGAGGACACGACCAGAAGGTTTTCAGGAACTTTCTCTGAGGAAGGATCCAATAAACTGACCACAAACACAGAGACATTCTCAACACCTAGAAGAAATACAAAACATGCACAAGAGCTAAAAGTGATGCAAACACAGAGCTGTTCCCACACAGCCATGAAAATATCAAAGAAACAAGTAAAGATGTAAAATATGCCAGAAAGGGACAAAACATCATCTTATAATCAACCATAAACATTTTAAACACAGACCTGACATGGATATAAAGAACATCCAGATAAAGATGATAAAACTCCCAGAGAAATGGGAAACATTCAGAAACAGAAGGAAAATGACCAGCAGGGGGCAGAAACACAGCTGGTGTCTTCAGGAAACCCTCAGTTCAGGTTTTTAAATCAAGTTTATGATCTTCATGTTTCACCGTTTGGTTTTATATTTATTTGCTGTCTCAGCCGTTTTGTGTGAATTTATAGTGCAGAGTTGATACAACAGTATCTGTTTCTCAGACTTTGCATCAATGCAGAAATGAACCTGTCAGATATGAGCGTAGCAGATTCATGCGCCCATAATTCATGTTTCACTCCCAGGATGAAAGGGTGAATTCTGTTGCAGCTGCCGGGACTCACCGATGGAGTTGCAGTTGCAGGGCAGGCAGCGGTTGCCGCTCTGGTCTCTGTGGTAGTTGTCGAGGCAGCGCTCACAGTTGGGCCCGTCGGTGTTGTCGGCGCAGTTCCTACAGTGACCTCCGTGACCCGTGGCCCGGTACAGCTCGGCGTCGAAGTAGCAGTCTGAGCTCTTCCTGTTACAGTCGCAGGCTGAAACACGGAAACAGCAACATTCCCTGAAAACACTGGTTGGAAAATGTTTAAAAAGTCAGAAACCCTGAAACAGAGACGACAGTCTGTCTTCATGTTGCTTCAATGTGGACCAGGTGTTTCCTGTTTCCTTGGCAGAAAAAAAATCAGTTTTAACAGGAATTTTTAATGTGGGTGAAGAAAAAAGAGACAAAACCTTAGCAGGCATCGGTCAGCGTCATAATGCTGGTCAGAAGGGTTAGGGTTAGCAGAAATGACGGCAGCGCTGCCACTGGTCGTTCCTGACTGAGGCCAAGTAAAGACACAGAGCTTTTACATCCCTGGGCAGGGTGCAGGTTTGTTAAGTCTCCAGTCTCTCATTCTCATGTCTTCACATTAAAACCAGCTTGTTGTTCCTAATCCACTGGTTTGGTGTTTCAGTCAAAACTCATCATTCTTCTGTTTTACTTCTATATTTTCTGTATAATTCTGGATCTTAGTTAGAAACTAAACGGCCTGAGTTCGTCACCGTAGCGAATGGTGATATCTGGATTTGGAAAAGTTTCCCTGACTCTCATGTTTCCTGCAGTGTGGGAGACTGAGCACCGCTTAGTCATGCATTAAACAGGAACTACAACTCCCACAATCCCCCAGAGGCCTGGCCAGCGTCCAGCACAGCTGTCCGCTCCCTGGCCGGTTTCAGCCGGTAACCGGTGACTCACGCAGACACTCGTTGGCGCTGTCGGCCGTCGCCCTCATCCACGGCCGGTCGTTGTAGAAAGCTTTGCACACGCCGCAGTCGACGCCCTCCGTGTTGTGTTTGCAGTCGCAGACCAGCCGGCCCCCGCTGTCCTTCACACACTCGCTGGCATGGCCGTTACACTTACACCTGACGACACACACACACACACACCTGTTACAGCTGGATGACACACCACTCAGCACATCACCTGACAAAGAAACAGCATTTCATCATCAGACGCCTCGTCTGAATGCAGCCTGTTGGTGTGAAATCTGTCATCAGACTGAAGTCTGTTCCGCTCGGTGATTGAAGGTTTGGCTCCAACAGGACGGCGCTTGTTCAGCCTCCACCTTCACCGATTGTCTCAGGGGTTTCCTGGCACAGAGCCGTGGAAAGTCTGACAGCACAACGAACTGAGAGCTTCAGAGAGACGGATCCCACAAACCTGAGCTCCACGTTTCTATCAACGTCTGTTTCACTGCTGAGACGGTCAGAGAAACGATGCAGCAACACAGACAGGCAGAAGATTCCTGATCAGAACGGATCAATAATCACAAGAAATACAAACAAACCAGGAGGAAAAACTCCATCCATCTCTTCATTCATCCATCTGTTCATCTGTCCATCCATCCATCTGTTCATCCATCCATCCATCCATCCATCTGTTCATCTGTTCATCCATCCATCCATCC